CTCTGGACTTCTTTTTTTTTTCCAGAGTCTCAAACGTCTTTCTTGCGATACGGTGACCAGAATTGGCTGCGGTATTCCAGGTGTGGCCTCACTAAGGGTTTTATAAAGCGGCCGCCGCCCAGGGCCCCCTTCCTCCCCTGGGAGCGAGGCCTGGGAGGCAGGCAGGCCGGCCTGGGGGAAGGGCAGCAGAACCTCCTCACCCTGCAGGAGGAAGTGGGGGCGTTGGGGGGGCGGCTCCTCCTCCCTGGGGGCGCTTTAGCCCTCTGCTCATCACTGTTAAGCGAAGCATCCGCATCATCGCCTGAGGACCCTCCCTCCCCCCACCCCTGCTGTTCCCAGTGGGGTCGTTACATGAACGTGCAGGTCGTTAAGCAGAGCACAGAGTGCCTGGGGAAGGGTTCCCAGGGCCTCCCCCGCCCCATGTGCCACTTCCTGCCCCTGGAGAGCCCCACAGGCCTCCCCACCCCAGCCCTGCGTCACCCTTGGAGCACAGAGCAAGGGCCACGGGGCTCCCTTTTCAGGGGTCAGTCGTAAGTCCCGGTCTGCCTTTAGTCTGCTTTAGTTTGGCCATAAAGGAAAGTGATCAGAAGAGTCTCCGCCGGTGCCTCACGAGGGGAACTGGGAAGGCTGCGCCTGGGCCACAAGCGGCTCGGCCTCTCCGAAGAGCTTCAGACTAATCCCAGGCACAGACTCCAAGACAACCCATCAAACAATGAGGGAAGGGGAAGAAAGAGCAGCTCTCGGACATAAAACCGGAGAGGCAGGAAGCAAACACAGGGCCGAAACTTGGTGGGATTAAATGCATGACTGAAACATACCGCTAGAAGGATTCAAAAGAAACCTGACTGAACAAAAGAGGAGGTGGAGTAGCATTAAATGTAAGAAATCATTACATCTCTACAGAAATCTACAAAGCCAAGGATGAAAGCCTCCTTGAATGCACATGGGTCAGTATAAAAAGAAAAAAGAATGAGATCGCCATGGGTGTGTCTCACCCAGGCCACCCAACCAAGGAAATAGATGGACGTCTTGCTAATCAGGGTTAAGGTATGTAGTAATGGGGGACTTTAACTACCCTGACATCAACTGGGAGACAAACTCTGCACCTAGTGGAAGATCAAACAGATTCCTGACAAATCTAGCAAACAACTTTGTCTCCCAAAAGGTAGAGAAGGGAACTAGAGGGTCAGCTGTATTGGACTTATAATTCTTATTAACAGAGATGAAAAGATGGGGAGAGGGTTGAAGTTGTGGGGAAAGTGACTGTGTCATATTCAGCATAATGCAGGTGCAAGTAATTGAACAAAATCAAACTAGTGTCTTAGACGTCTAACATACTTATAGAGTTTAAGAAGGATTCCATAGATGGCAATCCTAAGGGGGGGGAGACTCAAGATGCTTGGGAAACTGCAAAATCAGATTATAAAAGCCCATATTTAACACAATACCACAGAAAAAAGAGACCTTAGACAAAACCAGCATGGTGGCATAAAGAATTCTTTTATAAACAGAGACAAAAAGGAAAAGTATAAAAAATGGAAAGAAGGACCCAACTAAAACAGAATACCAGCAAATAGCCTGAATCAGAAAGGATGGAGTCAGGAATGCTAAGGCTCACTCAGACTCAGGTCAAGGTACATGCACAGGAAATACAAAGCCTCAAAAAGGAACAGGAAACAACCTCAAAAGCCCCAGAAAGTATAAAAGCTCACCACTCCCAGCAACATGTGGTCAGCTGCTCCAGAGCCTCATGTCTTGTGGTTCTGCTCTTCAATAAACTGCAACCTTCTTTCTAAAGCAGTCTCCATTTTGTTTATTCCCAGCTTGGACTGGACCTTGATGAACATTTTTCTTTCAACACAACCTATTCTCCAAAGCACCTGAAGGCAGGACAAAAAGTAACAGGTAGAGGTTCATTAAAGAACTATCCAACCTAGAACTAAGGAGTCGATGAGAACGGCTTGTCTCCAGAAACTGTGGGTGCCCCATCACTGGAGGGTTTGAAGAAGAGGACCAGAATGGTATAAGCTTGAGCAAGGGATTGGACTGGAAGACCTCCAAGGTCCCCTCCCATCCTGTTATTCCATGTTCCGTGTCATTCTTGGTTTTTAGAGCCAGATAGGAAGCAAGGTGTTCCCTAGAGCAGGGGCAGCAGCGGAGAAGGCTCTCTTCCCAGATTTCACCAGCCAAAATTCTTTAAACAACAGGGTCCACTACTTAACTCTCCTTGTTTGACCAGATGGGGTAGGTCTGTCAGATAGAGATAAGACCCCCAGGTCACTTGGTCCCGTGAAATTAAGGTCTTTAAAGGTAATAACCAACACTTTGAATGGGAATCTGGAAGCGTACCGACCCCAAGGCTGCTTGCATAGCAGAGGAATTCTGTATACAGTTCGCCCTTCTGGGGGCGCCCAAAGCCGCTCCTGCTGCTGCAGGAGGCCGTACGGGTCTGGATGGGGAGGAACAGACTCAGGCTCAACCCTTCCAAGACCGAGTGGCTGTGGCTGCCGGCGCCTCGGCATAGTCAGCTGACTCCATCGCTGTCTATAGGGGGTGAAATTTTGGCCCCCTCAGAGAAGGCACGCAACTTGGGTGTCCTCCTGGATCCACAGCTGACACTGGAAGATCATTTGTCGGCCGTGACCAGGGGGGCGTTTTATCAGGTTCGCCTGATCCACCAGTTGCGTCCTTTTCTGGACCGGGACGCTCTGCGCACGGTCACTCAAGCTCTCGTCACCTCCCGCCTGGACTACTGCAATGCCCTCTACATGGGGCTCCCTTTGAGGAGCACCCGGAGACTTCAACTGGT